ACAAGGTTCCAACAAACAATGGCTTGATCAAACTCATAGTGATGGAAGGCCTTTTTAATTAAGTGACTTAATATACTTTTGTTGAGGGGTTTTTATTTTATGTCTCACCAATTTTATCTTTATCAGCATGTTATAGTCATAACATACACACTTAGCATGCATACTAAGCATAAAGGAAATGTGTTGGTGCATAGCCTTAACTAAAACCGATTTCCTCGAGCCTAGAGGAATCGGTAATTCAACCTAGGTAAAAGAGAATAAATGAATTCTTCGAGTAATTTGCCTTCTTCATTCCATTGCTTCTTCTTCTCGAACATTACACAACTTTCAAAATAAAATTACATTCTGATTTTACATAATTGAAAAGAAACCTCAAGTTACATTCGAGAGAGTGAGATGAGAGAGACAGAGAGAAGTTATATCGAAGAGTATGGAGAAAGGCAGGGCATGTAGGCCCTATTTTAAAATTACATAATCTAAATAAATCTTAAATTAAGTTCATAGGCTTATGCACCAAATATAATGCATATTCACAAACAAGAAGATGCATAAAACAAATCAAAATTAAATTTTGATTAGGCTGGTAAAATTATGATTACCCTTTGATGTTTAGCAATGTTACGTTTGTCCAACAAGTTTTAAAAAATTCATTTTAGTCCCTTGTCATCGAGCCTTACTCAATTGGGCCTCCAGAATATTTCTAACATACAATAGAAAATTATGGATTAATATATCAACGTGTAATAACTCAAAGATGACCCAAAATTCAGCCTATTGCATCATTACGTGGGCTACCCAAAATTTCCAAATTTGGCGTCCATTTTAATGCGCATTAGACAAGCATTTGGCTAAGAACCAAATGTTGGTCAAGGTCAAGTGCAGGGAGAAAATGGCCATCACGGGGTAGCCACACACGGCAGATTTTGGGGAGGACAGCAGCAATGCACTCGCACGGGCTATTGTGCGTGGGCAGCAGCCTTTGTGTAGTCGCACAAGGCTGCTGTTGTGTCGTTTACGGTGGCACAGACCAAGGCCACATGCAACATATGGCCACACTTCCCTGACGCATGGTTGCGTGAAACAACAGTGATGTTGCACGCTACAATGTGCGCACTACCCAACAACAATGCGCAAACGCATGTTGTTGCTGTTGTTTGTGGCAGCGCACTACCCTTCACGGTAGTGCACCCTATGAACCGAAATCAAGTTTAATCTGATTTTGATTAATCATAAAATAGCTCAGATGCAACAGTATATACAACACATCAACCAAACCAATTTTTAACAGTTGTTAGATTTTAATCAACATGTTAAAACCCTAATCAACAATTATCGAAACTAATTCAACCAAACAATAATTAAAATGATGTAATCAAATATAAGAGGATCTGATACCATCATAGGTTTACGGATCGATTTATGCAGCAGAATTACAAAAATCATTTGATTCATAAACCTTGATCCCCACGATCCTTATACCGATATACATCGTTCATACATGAAATTATATTAAAATGTAAATAAAATTTCATACCAACATTTGGATGCTCCTTCAATGGATTTTTTATTGTGTTCGCTTTCACTCCAAGGAAGGAATGCACGAGCGGTATCCACACGAAGACAGGTCGACAATTACCAATTGGTTTATGTGCTAGTTAAACCAATTGATTTCAAGGAATGAAATTGAAAAATTCTCTTCTCCAACAATGAAAACTCACGGTTTTGAGAGAGAGAGAGAGAGGTGGCTAGGGTTTAATTTAATTTAATATATTTTTTTTAATTTTAGTTGCACTTAAATAGTGCACTAATTAAAAACCTTGATCTAAAATAGAATAGCCATCAACTCATTCCATAATTAGATTAGCATTATTCCATTACCAAAACAAGGTATTTCTAATAATGGTATTTTAAATTTGAATTTATATTATAATCCATTAATATTAATATTATTTTAAATATTATTAGTTATTAAGTTTGCACACACATACACATATTTAAATATACAATCTTACTTTTTTTAAATTCCATATGAAATTAAATATAAGCAACGACCTTAGCAAATCAAATTGCACTGTGAGATTACCAAAATACCGTTTCATCTCAAAAAATGAAAATGCTCTTCTCACTTACTTATCCTTAATATGTCTTCTATGTGTGACCCAAAGGTTCCTCATCATATTAGTAGTGAGTAGTTTCATGATTGACACTCAATCAATCGTCTTACTAAACACAGATCAAAATTGGTCTCTAGCAAGACATCACAGTCACCTGATAGATTCGGATTCAGCAAAACAACTACCTATCAACAATATGGTTATCGTGTAATCAAATCTCATCATCATTTATTATCTCATCAAGGCTGAGGTACAGAAATAGTGTCAAGATATCCTTAATCTCTTTGTATTCAGTTATTGGACCAACAATTAGAATAGATTGGATTAAGCTATAACTCAATACCACTGTGGCTACAGATTTAGTGTCGTTGCCATTCACTGGATTGCTCAGTGAGATAATTTTTAATTTCTCCCATATCAGGGAGTGATGAATCCTCTGTTAATCTACCATAGTCTTGATAAACTTTTCGATATAGCCAACCACTATCATTCTGATAGTCCTGAATAGAACTATATTGGGCTAGTGTCAAACTACACCAATTGATGCACAAGGCGCTCCGGTGATCTCAAGTCTGAGGATCACATGCACCACCATCCGTTAGAAGATTTATTCTACAGTTACTAAGGTTATCATCTATGTAGAATCCTCTAGTGGGTCTATCTGGTAAACTCGCCTATAGTAAGCACTCATGTATTACATCGGGTCATGAACAAACAACTTTGACAAGTGAGATCAATCACTACCTTTCGACAGGGTCGTTCAACACTATGATAGTCTTAATGTATTATTTGTATCCTTAGTCAAAATAATACTAGGGTTATAGACATTTCTAGAATAGTTACTATACAAGATCATAAGGTCCTCAATATCGAGATTTGAAACACTCGATACCCTCGTCACGGTTCTACCATTTTAAGGACATACACCACGACATATAATGAATACAAATTACACGATGTAGAAAAAAATATCTTTTATTGATTATAAACATACTTACATAGAGTCAATATTACAATAATGGATTGACTCTAAGATACCTACTCTAACAAGACATGCACAAGAGTTGTTCTTTAGAGTTCAAACATGCCAATCCGATTGAGTTTGGAGAGCTTATCGCTAGTCTAGGATTTAACTATAAAGGACTAAGCCATCTCTACACAAATTGGTCAGAAGTTTGAGTCATTCCCTTGATGATTCCATGAGAAGATGAAACCAATTAACCTTAAATCAATTATAGGCATGATGTCTAGGCTTAACCCCACTATTGTGTGATGTTGGAATGCGACACGAGCTGTTCCGTTGTATTGAAACTCTAAGCCCATACACAAGATAGCTCCACCCCTACTTAGAGTTGATTTAATTTGGGATTTGTATAAATCACAAAACAATTATATTTAAAAAAGACATGTTTATCATGTTTTTTTTTTTTTTTTCAGGGTGATATTACATCCAAATTATGCGCTAACAAAGGAAATTGCATCTTAAATTCTTAATTCTAAAATTATGTTTATGATCAATGTTTTAAAACCTAACCCGAGCCTTGACCCGATCAAGGGCCCAGGTCCCGAGTTAATCGGTCCAACTAGTTTAACTGGCGGGTTAAATTGATGACATCGGCGTGCATAATAAAAAGAATTTGAATTCTAAAAATTAATGGGTTTAAATATAATTTTAGAAAAAAATGAATTTAAACTTTGAAATAAATTGTTAATATACAAGGCAATAGATAAATTAAAGACAAATAAATAAATTAAATTGATAAAAAAAATTAGAGGGAGAGGTCAAACTTCTAGAACTTGAATGAAAAAAATGATATTAAAGCAATCTTAATAAATTGACCAAAATAGAATTTTAATTAAAATAACTAGAAATAAATAATACTCAAATTATCTAATTAATAACAATACAATAACACTAACCTCACTAATCCATCTCAATAATCCCTTGCAAAAGATAATCCCACAATCTTATTCCTATCCCTGTACCTTATCCCTATCCCATTCTCTTTCTCCCAGAAAAATCACAACCATCCATTTCTTCATTGCAAACACATCTCTCATAGTCTCACACCCGATTACAAACTCTCCTCCCCTTTATCCACATTTCAATCATCAAACAAACATCACCAATCCACGATTCCAATTCATCATCATCATAAAAAATCTCAGTCATAATCATAATCAAAATCCAATGGAGAACCCCATCAATCCTCCTCATACCCATAGCAGCTATATTCAAGTTTTCAGAATATGATGTATTCAAGTTCTCACTTCTCATAATCAACACAGCTTCAACAGCAATAAAATACAAGATTTCAAAATCGACAACACAATGCATTAACCCGGTTTTGACACACAACCGGTTGGATCGACAGGTTGCTACAGCAACCACGATCCAACTACGGGTCATTGCGGGCAAATGCATATTCCTGATTTTTATGGTGACTCGGCCCAGCTTAAAGGTCAGTTACCGGTTGAACCGCTTAAACCGATCGAGTCGGGCTTTAAAATATTATTTATGATTACTGATCCTCGATTTGCGCATACAATTTCAAAATATTCTTCAATAAAAGCTAGAATACTTTCTTAATTTGGAGTTCTCAATAAAATTTGAAGCTTCTGCTGAATTGAAGTTTTCTTCTCTTAAGCATAGCAATATGTACTTTTGTAGCCTTATGGATAATCACAAAGTATTTATGTAGCACTTCCATTGTATCTTTCGATGAAAATAATACAACGAAATACTATTACATATAAAGCAAGTTTTGAGTTTCTTTTTCTTTTTAAATATTTCACTTCATCTCTCTCTAAAATCCTGATTCCAGAGAAAGTTAAGAGTGCATTAGGAAGAAACTTCTAAGTCCAGAGTTTTGTAAGGCAATTATGAGTGCAGAAACCATGGATTCTATGCTACAGAAATATTCAGTTGCTCATACATAAGAGATCCACAACTTGCCTTAAAACAGAGGCTTGCTAAAACTACAAAAAGATTAGAAGCAGTTTGAAAGAGTTCATAGTACATGCAGATTACACATTACATGAATAATATACCAAAAGAGCTTCACAATCACAAATGCATCACCAGACGCAACGGTAGGTAACATGCGATTCTGTTATTTCGCCACTATAGGTTACTTTTACCACCTGCCCTCTCTCCAGTCCATAATAGCGTGCAATTGCATCTTTTTTTAACATTCTAGGAAGCTGAGAAGGAATATTGGGACAAAAATGCTTAGTTTAAGTAAAATTTGATCGATAAGGTGAAGCAATACATGTTCCCAGGTACAAGTTATGCACAGTACTTGAAGAAGTTTCCAAACTGTCTTTAAAACAGTTTTTTATGCAAAAGAGGTAATGCAAGCAATACGCGTGGATATTCTTCTAGTTAGCACATATAAATCAAACTCTTTCATACCATAACAAGAACTTAAATAATGGAACACTAAGAATTTCTTCTAGGAAAGCAATTCAGTGACAGATGGATTCATTAGCTCAAAATACTTTTACATAAGTTGTTTACTAAAGACCTAATCATGAGGTGGTTCTCCTTCACTTTAATCAATGTTTACCAAAGAAGAAAGGGACCCTAACTAGGAAGCCAATAGTGTTTTATCTGCATATGGAAGTATAGGAATTTATAACGGCCTAAAGCATGGAGTGAGAAGTACCTTTGACTTTTAACCTAGAAATATGCACAGTAAAATGTTACTCCAGAAAAATTCGATATTGTTCCTCAAGTTTACTTTAATTTGTTTTATTGTTTATTTACCTTTGGGTAAAATGCTTGGTACATGGAATAATTGCCAGTAGCTTAGGAGGGACCTTTTTGCTGACGACGAATTTTTAATTCTCTCATAACTGAAAACTAGAAATTAATGATGCCAAATAGAAATTCTTCACACCCAACAAAAGCACTGGAGTAGCAAGATAATGCGCTTACTTGATAAACCCCAAAAGAATTTTAGCAATCCAGTAGAAACCCTTTGGCGCCATGGCAATTACATACTTTTGAAATGCATCATTACTATTCAAGTGAAAATAATATGTACCGTTCTTATATATATACTAGCATGTGTCTCACAAGTCCATTCATTCTCCTCTAAATTTCGGTTCTTAATTTATGTTAATCCAACTTCAGGTTTCCAGATCCTTTATCATTCCTAAAACTTTTGCTCTCATTCCTAGAACATTCTTCCAGCATAAAATATGTATCTACAGAAATTAATTCAACAGTAAGCACTAGATATTATACTTCTTTGTCTTTGATTCCAATTTATGTTCATCTACCCATGGATGCAGAAACTGTGTAAATCAAAGTTTTTGAAATAAATGTCGACAACTAGACATAGCGTGGAATGACTTCTCGGAGATGGATTTAACTCATATAACTTCAAATTTAGACCAGAAAACTAATAATTGTTTGACAATAATGTTTTTTTAGCAAGGGAATAACCTAAAATGTAAGATCTCTTCCTCTGCGACAAGAGGTCTTGGATAGGTGCCTCACACCAGCATTGAGGCAGGGAGAGGGAGGGATTTGGCTCATTTTTTGGGATGAGTGGTATGATGATTAAAAAAAAAAAAAAAAAAAAAAAGTAGTATAGCATTATGTGCAAGTGCTGAAGTGCAATGCAAAAAACATTAAATTGACTGTTGATAATACAAACATGAAAATTGGAAAATTTTATAATTTAAATATATTTTAATACTAAAAAAATTAGTAAATTGCAAGCATGATGGTGAGGGTTCTTGTTTTAGCAGCATTAGAAATGTTAATTGTACAATGGTGGTGATAATAATCATATGATGATGGTACAATGGTATATCTGATGGTAGTTTTACTGTGATAGAGGTGGAGACAGTGATGATAGTATGGTTGTGATTGGTGAGAGCATTACTGGTTGGATAGAGGTGATAGTTATAGTTGAAGTTCTATAATTACATACATTATGAACAAAAAGAAAGAGAATCTCAACATTGTGCACTAATTGATCTACTTAAGTGAAGTATTAAGTTAAGTGCTAAATGGTAATGTGTTTACCAAGCACACTTGAAATAATACACATTGTGAATATATGTTAATGTCTTAAGTTTTAAATTTTCAGATCCAAGTGTCGAACTTTGTTATCTCCAAAGCCCCTCATCACTAAACCCTCTTTGCATTTCCTTAAATTAAATGCCAAATTTATTAAAAAAAAATGGCCTTTCTACATAGCTTATACATTAATCAGGGAAAAAATTTAAATTGTTTGTCATTAAGGCTTTGGATAAACATTTTAACCTTTGTGACATTTAGTGCACAAGAAGTCTGTAGGCGATCATGAAGAACAAAGCAAACCAACAGAAAAGACAGCAAAAAGAGCTATTTTATTTATATGTTTTACTGGAGTACCAAACTGACCTGCTTTTCTTCTATACTATACTTCTTTAGGACTCTGTCCTTCTCTTGATCAGTCAATACCTGATGGTTGGGTTTCAAGACATGCTTTGTGATATTAATGAGTAAGTCCGTAATCTGATAACAAACCAAGTCAAGTGAGAGATCAAGAACATAGAACATGTTGAAAATTTATTGCATATATTTAAAAAAAAATAATCAACTAATAACTTTTTGTATTAGATCAGCAAAATAAGTAGTTTGCACACACAAAGGATCATGCCAGGAAGAACGAAAATGAAGAATTAACTCATTTAACAGCAGAATTTGCACACACAAAGGCAAATCACTGTCGAAGAACAAACATGTGAATTAATTCATTTAACAGCTAAAAGCAGTATATAGGTTTCCAAAGTTCTGAAGTAAAATAATTTAAAACAATAAAGGTACATGCGTATAGTTGGCAACCCAAGATGGATAAGTAATCTCTGAACCAGTTAATTTACACACATGCCCAATGCTGCAAATGCAGGAAAATATGGCAATTTCAATTATAACTTTCAAGTCAATTATATAGAGTTGATTACCTAGATCTTAATTTAAATATTCCAATTTGGCAGTCTAGAAGAAAAAGGAAATAAAACCAAAACCCTTATGAGTGCACAATCAACTACTAATTCCAAATTTCTTCATTTCCCTTGACATTCTTTGTTACCAAATGTAGCATCAAATCCTGTGAAGTACTGTGAGTTAAATACCAAAGAATTTGGATTCAGTAATTTCTTTCCCTTTTCCAGGATCCCACATAGGTAATCTTGATAGAATCGGTAATCCATAATACCCAGAACTTGTTTTGCACGGGATATCATAATGAACTAATAATTTTGGCTGATGAGGCAACAAGAAGAACATAATGCAACCATTGGTAACAAGTCTTAATAATTCCGTTTTTTCAAGAGTAATTTTTTGTTCCCTAAGTTCTAATGTTTTTCAGGAGTTAACTAAGCTGTATCACAGCTCTCTATATATGTTTGGGGGATATTCTCTGAAGTATGAAAGAATATATAGTAATTTAATGCTTTCAGCTTATCTTATGGTTTATATGATGCATATCAATGTAGCTGTGATGCCATAGGTTTCTTCAAGTGATCCCTGGACTTTTACTATTAACTCAACATCTAATCAGCCCAAGATGTGATGCGAAGACAAATCTAGGTATAATGCCCAAATCCTTCTCTTTTCTTCTTTTTCTACTTATCAAAAGCTGCTGTTCACAGCTATAAAGACAACTCATAAAACTTTGTTCATTGATCATATTGTCACCTCAAAAGCATTATATAAACCTCAAAAGTATGACTTAGTTCCCATACTTACCATAACCCTCACAACAATGCATAAACATATTAGAGACGGCCTATAGTTTCTGTCATGCATCATTTTTCTAATTAGAGACAGCAATTACTTTCCATCAATTGGTTATCTTACTAGATATTGGTGAGAGAAGTTGGTAGCAAAGCATAACCATACAAATAAATTGTTAACAATAAAACCACTGACTTAGCATAGTAAGACATAACGATATATTGGAAAGCAGAAAACAAATCACAAGAAAGATAACAGAGATTAACTGAAATGACACCCAAAAAGGAGCTTGTTTGAAAAAATGGAGAAAATCTAATTCCTAGCCAACATGACCACTCAGTCAATTGAAGTGATAAAAGTGCCCTTCTTAAACATATTACCACAACAACTCCTTTAACCCTTATCTTCACCATTTTTATTGAAATCCTCCAATATCATTTGAGAGTTGACAAAAGCTTTGAAGCACAAAATCAAATTGAGACTAGCATCTTCATTAAATACATTGCACATCACAAAGAGGTAAGATGACAATGTTTAGGGCATGAAGCTTTTATTATCAACTTTTTAGGTTACAGTTATAAGCTTCATGTTCATCATTGATTTACACTACTTTAATGCTACATATACTTTTTTAAGACTTGATTGTGTGAGTTTAGGTGCCAAAAGATGTTGAGTTTTTTTACTTGATCTCGGTGTGTGAAAATTTTCACACTTTAAAATTACTTTATGAGTGTATGTTGTGCATGTATAACTAAATCTTAGAATAATATGACTTATTATTTAAAGTCCAGAAATTAAATAAAAAAATAAAAAAAAATTAATAACTAAATCATCATTCCTCCTCCCTCTCACTACGGAAAACACAACTTGAGCAACTTGGTTCAAGAAGAGGCACCATGTATGAGGCAGATGCTACCAATAACTACTTTCACCTCTCAAAACTCCAAAAAAATGATATATTATCTTCAACTTCTCAAAGCAAGATTGTTACGTTACCAAGTAACCTAAAAGCTTAAGCTAATAGATAAGGGCCTAACAACAGGTTTTATGCTCTTCTATTATTTCATTCTCAAGAAATTGTATATAAATAAACAAAAACCAATTTGCTTCATAGTTTGAGAGAGCAAACTTCAACTTCTCATTTTCATTTTACAATATCCATTTTCAAACAATAAAGATCATAAAATGATAGGAAACTAGTCCTAAACAACAACAAAGGCTAGGGAAATATTCACAACATGTGAATCTCATGTCAATACCTACCCATCAATTCAGAGATATGATTTTGGTTTTCACTCAAACAGACCCCATCTAAATCTAATCTAAGTTTCAGATATGCCACTAGAGATGGAAAAAGAAGAGCATGAAATGGCTTAGTAAAGGGTATCTTGTCAGTGGAAATTAAGGTCTTTTAAGATATAACCTTTACAGCATGATTGCCAGACATAATCTAACCTACTTCAAAATTTCCTTCCCGCACAAGTGCCATGGTTATCATTGTGTAGCCTAAAAATTGTGATACCACATCCCTGATTCTTGACTACTGTGAAAACAGTAACCTAGAAAGCCAGATATAGGAGTGAATACAGCAATCTTAATGATCTCACACTGGTTTAATCTTTAGGAAATAACCAACAAAATACAACAAACATGTCAATCATCCATGTAGAAAAAGTCCTGAAACTGGATATATTTTAATGGTTAAATGAATGGGTGACCAATTGAATTAAAATGATTCCCAATCCAACGTAATAAAAATAATATCAACAAGAGGAATCTAGCAAAGAAAACTTAATATCAGAAAAGATACCTGGAATAATTCCACTTTGAATGGGAAAAGATCCACAGCTTTCAGAGCCTGGTTTGTTATTTGGTTTTGTAGGATTAATATCAGCCCAGATAAACTATCTTTATTAACAATTTGAGTTGCAATGCTACGGATTACATTAACTTTAATCATGCCAGGCCCACAGAAAATTACCACTATCTGCAATCACAAAAACATCCACTGGAAAAATCCATAACTCATCACATTAAATAATAAATTATTAGCATATAATGACATTAAGTAACAGCAACAGACCATGCAAGTGAACTACTAAAAGTAACTGAATTAAGAGTGCCACTGTCTGTGCTTTGCCCGCAGCAGCTGTAGCTGTACAGTGCATTTTTGTTGTGGTATAGCCGATAAACAATTCAGACTTAGTTTGGCACCAAATTGCAAACAAATTTTAGACTAAAAATCACATATCCTAAAGTTCATAATTTAACCTATTCTAGTGAGTCCGAAACCCAAAAGATAGTAAATTAAATTTACAATCAAAAGAAAATCGTCATAAATTAGCCATAATTTTAGTGGAAACTGATGCCCAAACCATAAGGCCTAAAACAAAGCTGCAATCAGAAGAAAAATTAATATAATGCCTCAGCTCTGGAACCCAAAAAAAAAAAAAAGGGAAAGATTCTGATAATATTACAATGTGAAGAAAAAACTTCCTTTTTCAGGTCTTCTTCTTTCCTCAAGCTCCATGCAGTGACACTAATAATCCTCAAGATTATGAACACGAAATTAGGATAAAAATATAAAAAAGTAGAGAAGTTTACCCTTTTAGAAGGGTATGATCGATGAGTAACTGAGATACGGAGTCGGTCAACATCTGGGTCTTGGCCGTGAATAGCTCGAAAATCGTGCAGAGAGAGATTGATCTCAGAGAGAGGAACATCGTAACCCCGGTCTCTCAACATCTCCAAAACAGTTCTACGTGACAAGTAGTATCTGTGACTGTCTCTGCTGCCTTGGTCCACCAAGCTGCCAAGGCAATTTCCCACTGCCTCTTTTACTTCAAATCCATTGCCTTCCATCTGCTACTCTGCTCACTCTCACTCCCACCCTCCAAGTTTACGCTGTTATTACAATTGCGTCGAGACAATTCTTGGCCCGTGGTACTTTGAGTCTACTTTAAACTACTCAGGTAGAACTCTTGGTTCCAATATATGTAAGATGTCACGTAAAATCGAGATAATTGTCCGGTCTTTGTCTAAGAAATATTGTTTTAAAGTTAAAATTGGATTAGCAATTGTTAATTTAAGAAATGTATTTTCTAATATTTAAAAGATAAAAGACCTTGAGTTATTAGACCAAAACGTAAGGCAAATTAAGCCCTTACTTCTAAGTTGCGTTTGGTTTAGGGGATATTAGATTATTGAAAATATTAGATTGTTGGTATCTTATATTACCTTAAAGATTATTAGAAATTTTTAAAAAAATAATTAAAGAAATCTTTAAGAAAATGGTTAGAAGAAATAAATTGATGGGTATGTTATTTAAATTACTAAATTGCTCTTTTTTTAAATATTAATATAATATTATTTTTATTATTATTTTTTAAATAATTTTTAACCCCCAATATTTCAAATTTAGCTAAAACACCCCTGCTTATATAAAACTTTAATTTATAGCAAAATTACCCCCACCACCTTGTCGCCGCCTATTGCCACAACAAACCACTCCCAAAAGTCATTGTGAGCAATCCGCTGTGATCGAGAGGCCCCAATATGCCTGTTTCTAGTCATATTGATGGCTGAAACTGGCTATATCAGACTAGATATGGCTGAAAATGGCTAGATCCCTAGCCATTATTGGCCAAATCTGGGTAAGATTTGGCCGTTAACGGCCATATCTCATTCAAATATGGCCGATAAAGGCTAAGGATCTGGCCGAAAATGGCTAGAATAGATCTGGCCATTTCCGGTGATGGTGGGCTACTCCCAGCGACTCCAACTGACTTTCGGCGACTTCCCGCGGCGGCCAGCGGTGGCTTGGCTGGCGGCAGGTAGGTGGGGGTGGTGGCTTGGGTAAGCTAAAATTTGTTTTGATTTCAAGGATAATTTTATCCAAAAAGTTAATTAATTGAGGTGAAATGGTAAAAGCAAGATTCATGTAAATAAATTTAAAAATAAGGGCATTATTGTCCTAAAATTTTATTAATAAGAGATAGAATTATAATAAAAAAAAGATTACCCAATTAATCTTACAATATCTAAAAAAATAAAAATAATCAGATTATCTCCAATATTACAACAGTAACTATTATTGGTATTTGAATATTACCGGAATCTTATATTACTTGACAACCAAACGTAGTAATTAAGTAATATAAGATGACACAACCCCAATAATCTCACATAACCCCCAACCAAACGCCCCCTAATTATATCCTTAAATAACAAGAGTAAATACATATGTTAAATCCAATGGCCAATCATTTAAATTACAAAAGTGTTAAGGGTGTGTTAGTTAGAATTGTGTTTTTGTTTCCTATTTTTCTGAAAATATTGAAAAGGATTGAAAAAAGTAAAAAATGAAAACGTTTCGATATGTTGTCTGAAAATAGTATTTGAAAACGCAAAAAATCAAAATGCATTCGGTATATTTGTCTGAAAATACAAAGAATAAAATATAAAATTTATTACTTCCAAAATTGATTAAAAAAAAAAAACCTTTAAATTACCACTCTTTGTTCATCTCAAAGTGTTTCTTAAATATGTCAATGGTTTGTTTCGTTCAATTTTGGTTTAAAAAATCTAACCTACATTTTTAACTCACAACTAAGGCATGTTGTTTTTCACCTTTGAAGTCTTTGAAAAAGTCTTTATATTCAAATATTATGGCTTGTTTGTTTTTCACCTTAAGAATGAGAATCAGTCATTTCCTCTTAATAGAAAAAAAAAAAAAAAAAAAAAAAAAAAAAAAAAAATTTACGCTTTTAACTTAAAAACAAGACTTAAGTGTTGTCTTCAATAACTCTCAAAAAATCCCTTTCTAATTTTTAAATTTCAACTTGTTAGGGCATAACTGCTCTATATGAAAGGAACAAACACTCCCAAGATATTAGAGATAAAGAAAGAGGTTTTTTTCATTAAAACTCTGCTCCCTGATTTAGAGAACTTTAATCCTTAAATAGCTAACAGGCCAACCTAATTGACTCAAAGATTACTTAACATAACACTGCAACAAGGAAATACTCTGTATTCCTAATACGAATAAATCCCGATTAAATAACAAACTAACTTCTTCCCACCAACTAAGCAAATAACTACTAAATAAAACCTCCTCCAATTCAGCTTCCATTGCCACATAATCCTGTACCATTTGGAGGTTGTTGAATCTCTTCGAAGTTCTCCTGAAACCTTCCATATCTGCACTCCTAACATTTCCCATCCCATTGGCACAACCTTGTCCTCAAGGTTGGGAGGTAGCTTGCAATAAATACCTCATCTTCTCGCGAAGCGTCCTCCAGAGACAGACTTCCACTGCACCAGAAGCTGCTCCACCAAGGACCGTTCTTATGCACTGTGCGACGACCAACTACCGTAAGGGGAAAATCAGAGGGTGACCTTGATATGTCGAAAGAGGTAATAGGACGGCGCAGCAGGGGCATTACATGACATGGCTCCACACAGGACACAGTGAAGATTGGTGTATGCAAGAGTCCTATGGTAGCTCCAATTTATAGGGGACCTTTCCAACAGCTTCAAGATTTTGAAAGGCCCATAAAATCATTTACCCAGCTTGGAGTAAATACCTCCGCGAACTGATAGTTGTCAGTATGGTTGTAGCCTCAAATAAACTAACTTTCCTCTTGAAACTCCACTGGTCGCCGATACTTGTCTGCTGACTGGACCATTCGTTGTTGCGCGCAAATCAAATTCATCTTCAATTCCCGCAGGATGCTATCATGGTTGGCAAGCACACTATCCATAGCATCCAAATTGGACTCCCACGAAAGGAGGATCACGACCATACACTAATTGAAGGGTGTAGTGCCTGCAACGAGCGGCATGACGTGTTGCAGAAAGTTATGCCCAGGGTAAAAACTCAAACACCAATGAGGCTGGTCCATAGTAAAACAGAGGAGATACTGCTCTGCAGGCGGTTAGTGCTTCTTCATCCCATCCGTTGGGGATGATAGGCTGAGCTATGTTGTAGCGTGTACCACTAAGCCGAAACAAAACCTGCCCAAATATACTTAGAAAAATAGAATCATGATCACTACGGATTGACTTGGGCAGCCCGTGTAGTTGTAAACCATATGCAAAAATAAGGTTGCGACTTTGGCTGCCGTAAACCCCTTCCACAAAGGACAAAAGTGTGTATATTTCGTTAGTCGTCCACCACCACCAGAATCACTGAATACCCCACGGAAATAGGTAATCCTATAACGAAATCTATTTCAACTCTTCCCAGACTTGAGCCAGAACTAGTAGGGGCTAAAGAAGGCCGACTGGAGAGAGAGCTGATGCTTTGCTTGTTGACAAACATAGCAGGCACGAATGAATGTTTTGAATCCTTGCTAATCCTTTCTAGAAAAAATTTAAAGCAATTTTACCTTTCATTTTGCGAATGCCGCCATGTCCTCCAAAGGGTGACGAGTGGAATTCCTCCAATATCTGTCGTTAATTCATCCAAGGGAGGGACTACAATGCGTCCCTGGTAAAACAACAAATTGTCATGAGGGAATACCCGAGTTACAAATTGGGATCTACCGGTAGAGCCTTAATTATCTCTCCACACGTTTTGTCTTAAAGGAGAGCTACCCGGATTGCTGCAATATATCAAAAATTGGGACTGATAAAGCAAGACAGCCCAGTCTCCGATCTCCTCATTTGCTGTGTGAGAAGGCATTGGCTGCGGCGTTGTCCTTTCCCTGCTAATAATTGATTAGAAAGTCAAACCAACACACCTAACAAGGGAGGTGTGCTGCTCGAGTGTCTGAATACATTGAGAAAGAATGTTTTGTAAATTTTGTGATCAGTGCAGATAATAAATTTGTGCCCCAATAGATATAGCGCTAGCGCATCACGACTTCACCTCCCTCCAGACACAGAGGCTCATTGTAATCGGGGATAGTTTCTTACTGAAGAAAGCAATCAGATGACCGCGTTGCACGAGGACAGCGCCTACCATATGCCGGAAGCATCAGTCTCTACTACAAACACATCCTAGAAGTTGTGCAAGGCTAGCACTGGCGCTTTAGTCATGGCCAATTTCAGAGATTCAATGTGTCTTGAGCTTCCTGCGACCATTCAAATTTGTTCTTTTGCAAGAGGGAAGTGAGGGAGCTACCAAAGAAGCATAAGCCTTTATAAAACACCGATAATACCCTGTAACCCAAGGAAACCCGCAGCTGCCTACTATAGTCGAAGTTGGCCAAACAGTCATGTTAAAACCCAAGCCTAATTAATCAATTCGCAACACAAACCAAACCACAATCAAGATTCAAGACTAAATCACACACACACAATCAAGACAAGATTTACCGTGATTCGTCATCCAATATTGGATAGACTACGTCCACGTTGAGCCCGAAATACAGATACTCACACACTAAAAGATATCCAACAAGAAGACACACACCTACAATCTGCCATAACAGAGAAACAATAAACCCAGGCTTAATCCCTCAATCACTCTTATCACCTGCAGAAAACAGAAACTATCCTAGCCCAAGAGGAAACTCAACGCTCTCACAAATCTGCCCAGTTTTCAGCGAGAAACAACCCAGCCCCAAAATAACTGCTCATACAGCTCAAAACTCACGCAGAAAGAAGAAGGAAAAATACGCTAACTGTACAATGTTTTTTGCCCTCTTATATCAAAGAATCTGAGCAAATATGGACCATTGGATCTGCCTTGATCTGAAGACCAGGATTCCTTCACACAACTTAAATGAAACGACATCGTTCTTGGTTCACAATACTTTTAGTCTCCACCTTGAAGCAACTCTCTTCCTTCTAGGCCTGGTCATCGAACCGAGCCGCTCGCGAGCGGCTCGGACGGTCGAGTCCGGCTCGTTAACGGCCGGTTCATTGTTAACGAGCCGGCTCGCTCGGCTCGTGAGACAAACGAGCGAGTTCGAGCCATACAAGGCTCGGTCGTCGGCTCGCGAGCCGTGCTTGGCTCGAAAAGGGGGAGGGTTTTTGACA